AGCTGGAGTGATAGAACAGTGGGGAGGGCTTGCACGCAGCCAACGGGGTTTGATCCCCGACACCCCATATGGTCCCCCAAGCACCACCAGGAGTAATTCCTGAGTGCAGAGCCAGGAGAACCCCTGGCATCACTGGGTGTGACCTAAAAATCAAAAAAAAAAAAAAAAAAAGAAAGAAAAGAAAAAGAAAAAGTGTTTGCATCATTTTAATGCATTAGCCAGATATTTAAATATTTCACTCACTCAGGACCAGAGCAATAGCACAGCAAGGTGGGCTTTTGCCTTGCATGCAGCCAACCAGGGTTCAATCCCCCGCATTCTATATGCTCTCTTGAGCACCACCAGGAGTAATTCCTGAGTGCAGTCAGGAGTAACCCTGAGTATCGCCGGGTATGACCCAAAAAGCCAAAAAAAAAAACAAAAAAAAAACCCAAGTTTCACTCACTAAGCGAAAATAAAATTTTGTTCTAAAAAATAAATTAAAAGGAGGGGTTGGAGCCATTTGTTTTGCACGTGGCCAATCCGGGTTCAATCCCCAGCATCCCATATGGTCCCCCAAGCACTGCCAGGGGTAATTCCTGAGTGCAGAGCCAGGAGGAACCCTTGAGCATAGCTGGCTGTGACCCAAAAAGCATTAAGAAAAAAAGAAATTTAAGTACAGAATGTTTCAAAAGAAAAAAAGGGTCCGGACAAGCAGCTAGCTCAATGCTGTCTGGAAGGCCCCTGGTATGTGCCGGCGTCACGGTGTATTTCCTGATCTACCCCGAAGGTCCCTTTGCAGGGAGCTGACCTGGGGCAAGCAGCATCTTATTTATAACTATGCATGTTTACTTGGTTTCGAGGCTAAGTCAAATTTAATTGCTTCATTAGGAAAACGATGCTGAGGAGATGGAGAGGTAGTACAGCAGGTATGGCACTTGCCTCGCACAAAGGACCCGGGTTCCATCCCTGGCATCCCTTACAGTTCCCCAGAGCACCGCTAGGCGTGATTCTTGAGTGTGGAGCCGGACTAAGCCCTCAGCATTGCTGGACAGGTAAAATCTTCTGTGTGTATGCAAAGCCTCACTTAGTTGTTTCCAGCAGAGAAGAGAAGGCAAGAGGGGCTCAGGGGACCACCGTGGTACTGGGGAGGAGAAGCAGGGTCAGCCATAGGCAAATGCCTGAACCCTGGACTAACTCTCTGGCCCTGGGTGGAATCCCATGGACCGTAGTAATAATAATAATAATCACAGTCACGGTCTCACGGTCTTCCCGTTATTCATCGATTTGCTCGAGTGGGCCCAGTAACGTCTCCACTGGAACAATTGTTACTGTGTTTGGCATATCGAATACATCACGGGTGGCTTGCCAGGCTCTGCCGTGCGGGCGAGATCCTCTCGGTAGCTTGCCGGGCTCTCCGAGAGGGGCAGAGGAATCGAACTTGGGTCAGCCATGTTGGCTGCGTGCAAGGCAAACGCCCTACCCGCTGTGCTATCACTCCAGCCCAATAATAATAATAGTAACGACAAATAGGAAATTCCCTGACAAAGATCACATATGAAGATTATGTACTAGGATCTTCAGGTGGAATAAGATCAGAAAGATAAAGTACTTGCCTGAAAACCTGCTTTCCTATACTTGTAAATGTTTTTATTTAAAGAAGTGATTTACAAAGTCATTGACAAGTTCTAGACTTGCCAGTGTCGGCTACCTTTCACCAATGTTCCAGGTCCCGTCCCCACCCGTTCCCACCCCCACCTGCCCTGTCCCCCCGCCTGTCACCTGGACAGGCTCATTCCAGAGTTCTACTGGCTGCTGCTTAGACCTCATGTCTGAAAACATACTTTCGGGGCCGGAGCTACAGAACAGCGGGGAGGGCACTTGCCTTGCACAAGGCTAACCCGAGTTTGATCCCCGGCATCCCACATGGTCCCCAGAGCACCTCAAGGAGTGATTCCTGAGCACAGAGCCAGGAGTAACCCCTGAGCATTGCCGGGTGTGACCCAAAAAGAAAAAAAAAGTTTTAACAAAATCTGACAGGCCAATCACACGGATAAGAACTGAATCTCTCATAAGCTGAAGTGAGTGCTGAGCTGTTCATTTCACTGTTTCATTCTACACATACACGCCACACATACATTTTCTGCACCTGCTGTCTCAAAGTACAAAAAGGTAAATGAAGCCTAACGCGAACACTGACGCTGGTGATCCTTCCGGCCCTCCTACCTAAACACGGGGCTTCGGGAATCCTAGAAGTAGGAGACAAACAGAGCTTTGCCTCAAAGTCCACTTATCCTCACACAGACCTCCACAGACCCTCAGCAGAAAATGGGCCTAACTTGGCGTCTGAATCTTTCTAAAGATGAAAAAAATTCTCTGGCAAACTGATTTTCTCTTCAACAGCCAATACAAGCCCACAGTGAGTCAGACATTAACCTGAACACAAACTACCCTTTCTCCCAGCCTGTGACGAGAAGGTGTGTGTGTGTGTGTGTGTGTGTGTGTGTGTGTGTGTTGGGAGGGGAAGGGAACGACTTGTTTACCCTCTAAGCAAAGGGAAAGAAAGCCTGGTTATAATCTTCCTTAACGTTCTTCCATTACCTAAATATTTGGGAGCTGCAGAGATAACTAACTGGGCTGAGCACAAGCTCCACATGAAGGAGACCCAAGCCCGAGTCCCAGAACCACGCGGGTCCTTGGGCTCTGCTGGGAGTGACCCCCAAACATACAGCCCACAGTGGACTCTCAAGGACTGCTAGCTGCAGCCCCCAAAGCCAAACTAACGCTCTGCTGTAATGCCCACAAAGTTGCCAGTCCAAGACTGATCTGTCTCAGGAAGCGACACCAACATTTTTCTACTGAAAATATTTACTAGAGGGCAGCAGAGACAGTGCAGTGAGTAGGGCGCTGGCCTTGCACGCAGCCGACCCAGGTTCGATCCCCGGCATCCCATGTGGTCCCCCCACTCCACCCGGAGCAGCACCAGGATTGATCCCTGAGTAAAGAGCGAGGAGTAGCCTCTGAGCATAGCCAGGTGTAGCCCCCCCGCAAAAAAAATTTTTTTAAATGATGAAAGATTTGCTACAGCTTTAATATATTTACTGCAAAGCCAACAACGAATCTTAATTCAAAAGACTTGGAACACTGCCATTTCCGGGAGAAAAGGTCCCACCGGTGGTGGCCTGGTGCTGGAACAGTGAATGCCCGAAACGACTCATTGTGAAGCGCTTTGCAAGGCTTGGTGCTTAAATAAAGTTAGAAGGGAAAAAAAAACCAGGACAACTTCCAAACAATCAGACTCTGTCACAGCCAGGAACATCATTGTACAAAGAAAAACAGAATCAGGCTGTCTTGCTTCTCCTCTGAAGGGCTCCTTTCACAGGGCGCGGGGCTTGCATCCGTGAGTGAGTGCGTGCGATTGTTCCCCAGGCAGCAGCTGGCGTGGGATCTCTAGCTCTTACTAGCTCCTGCTGGACTTCGGGACCCCACGCATCTGAATCCGGACTCAGCCTGGCTCCGGCTGCATCTAAGACCTGGTTCAAATGTGCTTCTCTCTCCACGGAAGATTAGAACAACAAAAACTCCACACAAGGCTGCCGGCCTTAGCACAGAGTGGTACACTCTGCAATTTTCTAACCCTCCCAAAGTGTTCCCACAAATCGGCCTGTGCCACTCACAGGGGTCGTCTGGGCATTTCACTTGGGGGGGGGGGGGGCACTTGCTCTGGAGAGACAACCCTCGGGTCACTCACTCCTAAGGGAGTAATGAGAGAAACAGCTGAGCAACAGCAGGGCGGGAAGACTGGCTGATATGTACACGGCGGGGAACAGTGAGAACTTTTCTTTTCTAATTCATTTTTATTAAAAACACCGTGATTTGCAAACTTGTTCGTGACACAGTGGTTTCAAGCATTTAGTTTTCCAATACTACCACTGTGACTTTCCCTCCACCAATATCCCCAGTTTAAAAATGAGAACTTTTTAACATGGCTAGAGAATCCTCATCTAAACTTTTTCCAGACATGCTTTTCCACATCTACAAGCCTTTAGGTACTAGAAGGTTAGGAGCTGGGCAACAGTGTCCTCCCAGCGGGGAGGGCATTTGCCTACATGCAGCCAACCTGGGTTCGATCCCTGGCATCCCATATGGTCCCCTGAACACTGCCAGGAGTCATTCCTGAGTGCAGAGCCAGGAGTAACCCCTGAGCATTGCCGGGTGTGACCCAAAAAAAAGCAAAAAAGAGAGAGAGAGAGAGAGAGATACGATTTCACACCAGTGAGCATATCCAAAAGTCTGGGAATGGGGTAGAGAGAAAGTACAGTGGGTAGGGCGCCTGCCTTGCATGTGGCCAAGCCAGGTTCAATTCCCCGGCGCTGCATACGGTGCCCCAGGCCAGCGTGATCCCTGAGCACAGAGCTAGGAGCAGCCCTGAGCAGCGCCAGGTCCCTCCCCCCAAATAATAATGAAAGCAAGAACCTCTGAAGGCAGTGCTGAGGCTAGCGTGAGGGCGGGCAGCTGCACCCTCGGCTTGTTCTGGGAAAGGCCCTTTGACCAGCCCTGGTAGGGGCCCTCCTGCCTGCCACAGGTCACCCAGCAGGAGCCCACAGGTCACGCAGGAGGAGCGCCACCCGGCAGGGGGAGGGAAAGGGGGGCAGAAAGCGGGTGTGAATGTCTGCACCCCGGATTCAACAGAGCAGTGCGTGACCCTGCCTCCCTAACCCCAGTTCGGGATGCCGAAGCCCCCACGAAATTCCTGGGAGCAAAGTCTTCTGGAGGCTGGTCACTCCCTGGCCAGCGATCGTTGTCTACCTCATGAGCCTGTGACCCCCGCTCCAGTGACGCGTCCCCTCTCGAGAGACACTGACTGGCCCGGACTGCCTCTGCCAGCCCGCGCCACCTCCACTGTGTCTTCATGACTGGTATTCCTCTTTTCTAAGAAGCTGAGTGAGTTCGCCGACTTTCTTCAATCTCTTCTGAACGGAAAGCAAAGCCGCCCCCCAGCTGCAAAGCACCAGCCTCACCTTGACATCGAAGTTACAGTCCAGCCTCCGAATGAGCACGATGAAGGTGCTGGATGAGTTGTCTCGGAGGGGCGGGGGCGCGATGGGCTCGCAGGCATTCTCCGGCTTCGAGCTGATCAGAAAACCCTGCAAGAAGGACGCCAGTTTGGTCTCTGTTCACGCGGAAAAGTCAATCTAACTTATCTCCACTGGCAACTCCCGCGGGGATCAGCGGGCTCGCATGAGGCCACGGGAATTACCCGGCCACACAATGGCCCTGAGCAACTACTGGCTCGTGATCCCAGCATTCTAGAGTACTGCTAAAAAATATTTTAAAAATAAAATCAAAAGACCCAAAGACCAAAAGGAATGGTTATTTCCACACATTTGCAATGAATCGCATGAGAGGCAAGTTGGGGGAGCGCACTTCTGCTTCCAGCCAGGGTGCACAGGGACAGCCTCCGGGTTACGGGGCATGATGTCAAGGAGCTCGGGGCTCCGGTGCTCCTCTGGCATGCAGGGCTTCATCAGGGCCCCCAAGCATCTCCCTGGAGGACCCTGGGACCCTGCAATGAGCAGCTTGACCATCTTGGAGGGACGCCTGGGACCCCTGAGCACTGCTTGGGGGAGCCCCCCCCCCCCACACACACAAAGCAAACCCTGAAGAAAGAACAGCTCTGTCCAAGAGTGAGGCAAGCTGGGGGCCCGAATTCACGACCCAAATAAGAATGAACCCAGGGGACGGGAGCGATAGCACAGCAGGGAGGGCGTTGGCCTGGCACACAGCCGACTCGGGTTCGACCCCCGGCATCCCATATGGTCCCCCAAGCACTGCCAGGAGTCATTCCTGAGTGCAGAGCCGGGAGTGACCCTCGAGCATCGCCGGGTGTGACCCAAAAAGAAAAAAAAAAGCATGAATCCAAATGGGAAGGAATCTGAGAAGGACAGTGAGGCAGCACCAAGAAGACACGCAGGGCTTCATTCAGGGCAGCGAGAGGAGCAATGGCTTCAGAGTCACCGTCCCACAGCACAAACCAGACAGGGGAGCTGGCTTTGTCAGCCTCCAAAGCTTCCGCATGAAAAAGGACCCCAACGAGAGAAGAAAACAACACAACTACCCCAAACTTAAAATTGTTTAAAAATTCGAAAAAGCAACCCAGACAATGGGAGAAAATATTTACGCATCATGTATCTGCTAAGGGAGCTTCATCTGGAATACTGCATGAAGTCGTAGATGTAAATGAACCAATGCCTCCTCCTAATTTACTGTTTCAAATCACTCTACAGACACGTTTGCTAGGCTATAAATCCTGGGATATGATACAAAGTCAGAAAATAAAAATGGGTAACTGCTTTTAATTTGGCCTTGAGAGAGAAAGAGAGAGAGAGAATATTGAAAGATTAAATACAGAGAAACCATGAAATATTTGGTGCACACATTCCTTTTGCTTTTACTTGATTTAAACTCAATTTTAAAAACCACCCCTTTGGGGCTAGAGAGATAGCACAGCGGGTAGGGCATGTGCCTTGCACGCGGCTGACCCAGGTTCGATTCCCAGCATCCCATAGGGTCCCCTGAGCACCGCCAGGAGTAACCCCTGTGCATCACCAGGTGTGACCCAAAAAGCAAAAATAAATAAATAAATAAATAAAATACAAACCACCCCTTCAGAGGGCCACTGCATGCGCTGTATGAGGAAGGCTGTGACTCAATCCCAGGGATGCTGGGAGTGACCCAGAATTCTCCCCTCCTCCAAAAAAAAGAAAAAGACCCTTTGAGAAGTCGACTGGGGAGAGGGCTCAGAGGACCGACCTCCGAGAACAGCCTGCAGGAGGCGGGTTCCACCCCCAGGTCCCCAAACGCTGCCAAGAACCACCTCAATGCATCAAGTCAGCAGTTCCTGAGTACCACTGGACTAGACCCCGAAAACAGAACAAAGCAACCTACTTGATGGAAATGAAAAGATTTGCGCCTGACACTGTAACCCGGAAAGTCACGTTCCGGCGGGGACTCAGGGGACTCAGACTAGAAGATAAACTGGAGGATGTCACCTGCCACGTGCTTTGCATTCCTTATACAGATGCCTGGACAGAGACACTCGGTACAGAAGCTCGGTGCAGACGCCTGGACACAGTTACTTGGTAAAGTCTCCTGGACACAGATGCTCAGCATGGACACCTGGATACAGACACTCAGTACAGACGGCTGAAGACTCACTCAGTGCAGACGCCTAGACAGACACTCAGTACAGACACCTGGACACAGACGCTCGGCACAAAGACCTCATAGGAACCAGACCCCACCCTGCCATTCTGATCATGGTAGCATCATTCGTAGGGGGAAAACAAGCCCAGTGACACACTGTCCATCACCCTGATGCAGGAAAGTCTAGTGAATTCACTGAGAAAACAACATCATCATTTTCCTAAAAACAACGGGGCAAGAGCAACGGCATGGTGGGTGGGGCCTTTGCCTAGCCCGGGCCCCATCTCTGGCATCCCGTATGGTCCCCAGGGCACTGCCAGGACTGCAGAGCCAAGAATAGCCCCTTAGCACAGCTGGGTGTGGCTCAAAATCTAGTAAATAAATATCAGACGAATTCTCAGCAAACTAAGTGTCCACTGAAAAGACGGCTTCTACGAGACCAGCCCCGGACTCAGCACCACGTGACACTTGCTCATACCCGGTATGCTGCAGAACTGGACAGGTCTGCTAAGAACCTGAGACCCTCGGATGGGTCGTCAGATACAGAATTCTCCAACTCCCTGACAGCCAAGAGTTCGGGGGGAAGCCCAGCCCACCGCAAGCTCAGAGGCAGCAATGTTCTACCCGAATCTCCCCAACGCAGGGAATCCTGACTCCCCAAGAATCTGGGGGTTCCAAAGCCAACATCCAGTTTTCTCCCCAAAGAAACAACAGTCTTCCCTCCAGCCATCCAAATGCGCCCCATCGTGTGTCACTGGGACTGTGACTATGGTGTTGCAACCGACAGCTGAACCCCAGGTGGTTCTCTGAGACTGAACACCAGCGCATCCTCAGTCAGATGAAGGGGGTCAGGGCTTCCCTAACAGGAACAGTCCAAGCCATGGACGGGACTCGGGGCCGGGCCAGAGAGGGCACAGGAGGTCAGGAGCTTGATCTGCAGGCGGCCAGCCCAGGTCTGACTGCCAAGCACGGCCAGGGGCCACACCTGAGCACAGAGCCAGGAACTTCCCAGGAACCACCCCCAGGTGAGGCCCCAAACAAAAGGAAAATAACCCAAATTATCTCAATAGGACAGATCAAAGTAGAGAAACTGTCTCTGCAATAAGGGGTTGGTGCTATAGTCCTTTACCCTTCACAGGTGACGACCACCTTGTCACTTAGTAAATGAACAGTGAAATGGGAAAACAAACCATTTCCTTATGGCAAGCCACACAGGCAGGGGAGGGGCGGGTGCGAGGGGGCACAGAGACTGGGCAGACCCTCTGCCGGCAGGAGTCGGGGCCCGTCTCCAGCACTGCCAGGAGCGACGCTCAAGCACAGAGTCAGGAGCATCAGGTGGGAACCAAACTTTTAAAATAAAATGAAATAAAAGGTGGAGATGGTAGGGATATGTGAGAAAGGGGCCGGGAGGGTGGAGATGAGGAGGGAGAGGGGAGGGAAGGAAGGAGGGAGCGAGAGGATGGAGCGCTCAGACTCTCCAAAGCAGCCAGACTCTCTCAGACACCAGCGTATGTGAGGTTTTCTATATCCTTGGCAACCGTGTATAGTTAGAATCTATTTTTATTAATCTGATGCATGTGAAATGGCATCTAACTATGAAATGCTCAAGGAGAATTCTTAAAGACTTTCACTGCCATACAATAATAGCTTAAAAAGTGTCATCTTCCAGATCTACCAAGGAGATAATAAAAATAAAGACCGCGTGGCCCAGCCTCATCAGTAGTTTTGTGCAACAACTCAAACGACTGGAAACCAGGTAACAGCACGGGTGAATGCCAAATACGGCCAGCAGGCTTTTCATAAAGACAGCTCAAAATAAAATCTGAAAGCAGACACAGAATGTTTGCAGATGTAAATGTAAGGTGAAACCCTTTTAGACCACCCGTGGGGAAAGGTGCACCACATTCCAGGGTAAGGAGGGTCTGTGAAGGAGGAGTTAAGGAATGGAATTTGAGAGATAAAAAGGGCAGTTCAAGGGCAATGATGACTCATTGTCTATTGTTTAATTCTTACACCAGTTATAAATTTTTCATATTTTTAACTTGATTTTTATACAGACATCGTGCTCTACGAAGCTGCTTTTCACAAGGTCTCAGGCTCCAGTGTTCCCACACCCAATCCGAGCCTCCACCCTGTGCCCCAGGGTCCTTCCTACCGCACTTTTCTTTCTTTTTTTTTTTTTTTTTGGCTTCTTGGGTCACACCCGGTGATGCTCAGGGGTTACTCCTGGCTCTGCACTCAGGAATTACTCCTGTTATGGTGTAACTCCTGTAATGGCAGTGTTCAGGGGAACATATGGGATGCTGGGAGTCGAACCCAGGTGGGCTGCCTGCAAGGCAAACACCCTCCCTACTGTGCTACCTGTCCAGCCCCTTCTACTCCCCTTTCCAACCTCAATACTTGACAGATACGTTACTGTAGTTTGGAGCTCAGGTTTGGGCAGTGCCGGTAGAGTAATTTTTCGCCCCTTGCTTTCAGGGGCGTATCTGGCTATGCTCAGGATTTACTCCTGGCTGTGCACTTCGGAATCACTCCCGCCCGTGCTCAGGGGACCAGATGGAATCCCGGGGTTGGAACCTGGGTCGCCACGTGCAAGGCAAATGCCCCACCCACTGTCTTATCGCTCCAGCCCCTAGGTAGAGCGACTGAGATACACACAAGCTCCTCACCCCTACACCCAGACCAGCCCAAGGACCCTGTTCCTTGCCCCCGTGATTTGTTCTTGTTTTCCTTTTTGGTCGCCCCCGGTGGTGCCCAGGTCTTAATCTCGGCCTTACCCTCAGAATCACTTCAGTCAGGGCTTGGAAACCCCTATGGGGTGCCAGGGATGGAGGTCAGCTGCGTGCAAGGCAAACACCTTCCCCCTCCTGTACCATCTCTCCGGCCACCGTGCCCCTCCGCCATCTCCAGTCCACCTCCTCCTTGTCCCCTCGTCATTTCTCTCCTTCCCTGGCAAACGGTCAACACCTAGGCTAGAGGCAAGCAAGACGCTCTGCCATCCACTTCCTCTACGCTTGGGCATTTCATCATTTTTAAGGCGTAAAGGCGACTGGGGGCCGGAAGAGAGCTCAGGGGTCGGAAGCGCATCACTGGGAACCCCATGGTCCCCGAAACGCTGCCAGAGACAGGGCTGCTGGCGCTCCAACCCACAGCGTGGCCAGGTCCCGCGCTAAGCCGCCAGCCCAACTGGGTGAGGGAGGCAGGGGTGGGGGGACGACACCCTAGGCCCAAGCACTGGTGCCTTCCCACAAATATTTTTGATTAAAAATATTTTTTAGTAAGTTGAAAATAATCAACAATGACTAATGACAACAGGAATAAGCCACATGATGGTGTCTTTCAGGATTTCAGGTGATAACATAAACACACACCGTTGTTCTTTCGTTTCTCATGGGAAGATTCCCACGGTCTGCCAGCATAGGGGCTCTGGATGTGGCTCAGCAACAGAGCACCTGCCCGGCATGTCTGTGTGGGACACGAGGTCAGAGCCCCAAAAAGAAACAGAAAGGACGGCCAGAGCGATAGCACAGCCGGTAGGGCATCTGCCCCGGGTTCAATTCCCAGCAACCCATGTGGTCCCCTGAGCACCGCCAGGAGTAATTCCTGAGTGCAGATTCAGAAGTAAAGTAACCCCTGAGCATTGCTAGGTGTGACCCAAAAATCAGAAAAACACAGAAGAAGAAGAAGAAAAGAAAAGAAAAATACAAAGGAGGCGCCAGAGCAATAGTACAGTGGGTAGGGCACCTGCCTCAGTTCAATCCCCAGGACCCCTATGGCTCCCAGAGCCCAGCCAGGAGCGCGAAGTGCAGAGCAGAGCAAACAAGTCAGAATAGTACCATTCTAGGTGATTTTCACTTTCTTCTTATTCCTTTTAAATGATCTGAACCCTGTACAAATGAATCCGTACGGGTCATTTAATAACAAATTTAAGGACTGTTTGCATTTCTTAAACAAAGAGAAATAAAAACTGTATAAAACGTATTGTCTTTACCTCTACGATTACTTTCTTACCTTTAAGCCTTCAGCAGGGAGTCTGTAACCAAATCTGGCTGGAAGGTCATCAAATGTCTGAGATGCATTTTCAAAGTTAAACTAAATATAAAATTAAAAACAAACCATGTTATAATTTACATGTAACAGCAAAACCAAAGTTTTACTCAATTATTTAAAAAATCATGTCTATAGTTTGAATTTACTTTCACAGCTTATTGAGAAATCACTTCTAAATTCCCAACCACTGAAATGGCAAGGAATATTAACATCTGCTGAAATTGTATTCTAATGTCTGATACTTATTACTGAACAAAAGCGGTAACTGAAACGTCACACCACCGACTGGGTAAGTTTCTCACACGCACAATTCCCCCAGCAAGAAATGTGCCACACGGATTATTTTCCAGCACAATTTCCACTGTATTATCTCGGTAAGGGTTTAATTTGATAGAAGAGGTTTATAGGGTTTCTGGCTCAAAGCAGAGACCCTTCCCCCAGGGGAAAAGGAACACGAGGTCATAATTTTAAAGCACTGTCTTCTTTTTATATCCTCTGAGCAATTTTATCTAGGAGTGAGGAATGAAAGGACTGAACTCAATAAAACGCAGGCATTAAAGAGCTGAAAGTATTACAATCTTTAAACAACTTTCCCTTTCCCAACTGATAAAGTCTGAGTGTGCAATTTCTAACGAGTCCTCTACCAAAAAATGAACGAAAAGAAAAGGGCTCTTGGTGCTGTTAAAACAGAACAGCAGGAACAACTGGGAGTGGTTTGCGATATTGAGAGTATTCAGTCTGGGGGCTGGGGTGACAGTTCCGTGGGGAGGGCACCTGCCTTGCACACAGCCGACCCGGGTTCAATCCCAGGCTCCACATATGAGCCCCAGCACCGCCAGGAGTGATCCCGAGCACAGAGCCGGAGAAAGCCCTGAGCAACACCAGGCACAGCCCCCAAAATAAAAATCCAGCAATCAAACGAGAGCCTTCCTCACCCGAGACACACTCATCCTCAGCATAAACGTGCTGATACATGACGGGTGGGGGCAAAGCGGCACTGCTAGTCACTGAGCTCAGCGAGTGATGCTGCGGCAGAGGACATGGGGGAGGGCAGTCTGGGACCCCACCGCCCAGAGACCAGCAACCCGCCACACGGCGGCTGCGACGCCTCTTTCCACACAGCAGGCCCGGCCACTGCCATCAGCACCCGCCCCCGGGGTTCACAGATCACTCCAAAATGCTGAGAGCTCGCTCTGGTGGGCTGGCCAGGGTCTCTCAAGCCCCAGGCTGAGCCCTCAAAATGGTCCGTAACTCGCGGTCCACCGAGGTCAGGACAGGCCTACGGCCTACGGCAACTCTGCTGGTGCCTGACATCCGCACGAAGGCCCCTTCTCTCCTCTGCCCATGCCACTCACGGCCACCTCCCAAGGGACCCAGACTCAGAGGACCCTGGGAGATGGGCAGAGGGCAAACCCGCTCAGAGCAGGCCCCTCCCCCGTCACCAGGGAGCTCTCAGAACACTGCGGGCGATACGAGATCTCGACCCATTCTAAAGCTCCCGTTTCTAGATGGAAAACCTCAGGGGGCCCAGCACGTGGTCTGCTGGGCAGGCAGTCACCGTGCACACAGCTGCCCCAGGTTTGACCCCCGGCACCCCATCTGGTCCCCCAAGCAGCACGAAGAGTGATACGTGAGTCCAGAGCCAGGAGTAAGTCCTGGGCACCGCTGGGGTGTGACCAAAAAACAAAAAAACAAAATAATAATTCTGAAAGGAACATTTACTGCTGTGGACCTGGTAGTGGTCACCAGAGATGAAAATTTCAGGGGTTCCTGCCGTCCAGGCCTCACGACTTGGGGCTCAAAGCAGCAGCCCCTCAGTCCATCAGAGCTCCCTGGGGGACCCACAGCCACAGCCGCTGAGACCCCCAGCCTGTCCACGAGGAACCAGCATCCGCCTCGAGCACCTACGACCTGCATGCGCAAGACCCCGAGTTTGATCCTCAGCATGCTGAGTCCCAGTGGCCCCCACCGCTGCCCAGGGGAGCACCACACCACCTGCGGTGTGAAAACCCATAACACACAAGGCCAGGAGCAGCTCCATGCTGGGCACCAGGTGGGGTGTGGTCTCCCAAAAGCAAAAAAGACCCCGGGTCGGAAGTCTCACTTGGTCCCGAGGGGAGGGCGAAGGAGGACGGGCCAGGGAAGGGGCACAGAAATGAGGAGGCAGAACCCACAATGTCGACGTGGCAGCCGAGGCCCTTGGAAGCCTCATCTGATCGCTGCTACAACGGGCACAAGAGGAGAACCCGGGGCACGTGGCAGACAGAGAGTCCCAGGCGAGCCCTGAAAATCAGGCCCCTGAGCACAGAGCTGAGAGGCAGGCTCTCCCTTGGGGTACGAGGATGTGGGGGAGCCGGGAGATGGCGGGGGTAGGGGAGAGGCAGGGCTGGGTCTGACGGACTCACGGCAAGGATGTCGGCCCCCACGGGCAGGAGGTTGAGGAAGGCGAAGAGCTGGACGGTGAGCAGGGTGTACACCTGCGTGGCCGACAGCACGAGCATCCCGAGGGACAGAAGCATGTCGCCGAGACACCCTGCAAGAAAAGCGGGACGGGGGTGAGTGCCGGGCCCGCCATTCTCCAGAGCCCCCCAGCCCTGCCTCTGCCCACAGGGAAACCATCCGCTGGAACCCACACGGCCCGGGCGCCGGCCAGGCCCCAGCTCGGCCAACGCTGCAAACGTCCTGGCCCAGCACGACCGGCAGTGCCCGTCCCCCAGCGCAGGGCTGGAGTGAGCCAGAGAGGCACTGGGAGGGGGCAGAGGCAGCGAAAAGAGGGGAGTGACAGCGACGGCCGGCTGAGACTCCACGCCGGAGGGCCCCTGGTTGGGGCTGGAGTTTCCCGATGCCCCTGCCGGGCCTCTCCCTGTACCACAGCCAGGGGCCTGGCCGAGGCCGCCGAGGACACGAGCTCGGCGCCATCATTCAACGCTGGAACATCAGAACCCCAGGCCCTCATCCACTGCCATGGGAGCCAGCAAAAGGGCCAGATAGGGCGAGGACCCCAGACCCCCAAAGTGGGAGGGGCCAGGAAAGGCAGGAGCCTGAAAGCAGGCGAAGCAGACGGCAGAGGTGCCCCCGCCCCCAGGGGGTCTCTGCCTTCTCGCGCCTGCCTCCACCTTCTCAGTCAAGGCTGGCTTGGACCATCCTGTTCTTTTGGGGGGCACAAGTATCGGGGAGCAGTAGAGCTGCAGGAGATGCTGCCCGGACCCGCAAGCCCTGAGAAGTACCTTCACTTAAAAATGTCTGATGACTGGGGTGGGGGGAGCAGAGCAATACTGCGGCGGGGAGGGTGTTTGCGTTGCATGCAGACAGCCCCGGTCCTATGCCTGGCACCCCCAGTGGGCCCCCCCAGCCCTGCCAGGAGTGATCCCTGAGCACAAAGCCACGAAAAACCCCTGAGCACCATCAGGTGTGGCCCCCAAACAATAAATCTTTTATAACTTTAAAGAATGTATACAGTTCTTTAAATATAAACGTGAGTGTATATGTCCATTTATTTCATTTATTCTTATATGTTATATTTACAAGGCGCAAGAGGTAGCCACTAACTATAAAATACTACTCCGGCCCTTACTTCAAACCACAGGAACTGCATGGCATAGCAAATACATCGCCTGAGGGCCGAGCTACAGTACAGCGGGGAGGGTGTTTGCCTTGCACACGGCTGCCCCGGGTTCGATCCCGGTCATCCCATATGGCCCCCGAGCACAGCCAGGAGTAAGTCCTGAGCACCGCAGGGTGTGACCCCAAAACAAAGCAAAACAAAATTAAAGAGAATTAACCAACTAAGCACACAGTAGACTGGATGAAAGTGGGAGGGCGGAGAGTGTGCACAGAGCAAGACAGAACCTCCACCCCAAGAAACACGCCACACAAACAAGCCCCCCACGGTGACACGGGGTGGGGAGTCTGAGGTTGAGTGAACACAGCCAGAAGTAGCCTTTTTTTTCTTATCACGGCCAGTTCTCTTAGGTACGGCGGCAAGATTGTGGTCACATCAGGAAACGATGCCTAGTGAGCAAAGAAATGCCGCAGAACGGTGCTTTGAAACCCTGTGGCTCCTGGGCCCCGCGATGAGGCTCAGTCAGACGCAGACGGGGGCTGGCGGGAGAGTCCAGGGGCTGGGGGAGGGCGCCTGTCCTGCCTGTGGCTGACCCAGGGCCGATCCCTGGCACCCCTGAGATTCCCCCACGCCCCATGAGGAGTGACCCCTGAGTAGAGAGCCGGGTGTGGCCCAAACCCTCCCAACCCTTCACAAAAGCAAAATGCACGACAAACTTCACCTTGCAGTGCTCAGAGCTCGCTCCCAGCTCGGAGCTCAGGAGACCCGGGAATCAAACCCGGGTCTGCCATGTACAAGACAAGCGCTTTACCCCTCTACAATCTGCCGGCCCCCAAATAACCTTCTCAAGTGTTGTTAAGCTCAGAGTTAAGGTGAACATCACTCAGTGTCTGCCATTATTGCCCCCCGCCACCTCGAGAACTTTTCCATCTTCCCAAACTGAAACTGTCTCCAATGAAGACAAATTCCCCACGTCTGCTCTGCTCCTCCCTCCTCCCGGCCCACGTGATGACTGCTCGTGATGACTGCTCAGCCTTGTCTCTGACTGTGTCTGTGGATGATGTCTCTGGGTGTGATCTCTGACTGTGTCTGGGTGTGATCTCTGTGTCTGAGTTTAATCTCTGACCTTGTCGAGTATTATCTGACTATGAGTGTGATCTCTGTGTCTGGGTGTGAGCTCTGGCTGTGTCTGGGGGCATCTCTGCCTTTGCCCGTGTTTCACACAGCACAGGGCTTTGCCACTGGCCTCACGGTGATGTCTCAGAGGTTTTCTTCTCCAAAGCTGAGGAAGATTCCATTCCAAAGCTTCCATCCATGCTTCCAGGGATGGGCATGCTTTGGCTGTGTCCACCTTTTGGCCACTGTGAGTAATAGTACTGTGGCGGTGGGAACTCACGTCTGCCTTCACCGCCTGCCTTGCCATGTGACAGTTATGACCCGGGCTGGAATCCCTGGACCCGTAAGTGGTCGCCTGAGTGCCACCAGGGGTCACTCCTGAGCACCACCGGGAACAGCCCCAAATATATTTAAACCTGTGCTTTGCCTTCACTTCCTTTGAGTACCAGAAACGGGACTGCAGGATGGTCTGGTGATCCAGCACATGATTTTGGGAGGAATTCTGTGCTGCTCTCCACACCAGATGAGCCATTTCACATTCCCATTGGCAAAGCACAAAGGGTTCCACTGTCTTCGCATCCTTGCCAATACATGTTATTTTCTCTGCGTTTGATGACAGTCGCTCTCAGGGCTGTAAAGTGGCAGCTCGTGGTGGTTTTGATCTGCATTCCTCTAACGCTCGGTGACACTGAGCATCTCCACGCATGCTTATTAGTCATCCACACATCTACATTCAAGAAACAGCCCTTCAAGCCCGCCCCCCTTGCTTTAATCAACTGTTGATGCTGAATTATAAAAGTCCTTCACATGCTCTGCCTGCGTTTCACTCATCAGATTATTATAAACGTGTCCTCCCAGGCTGAGTGGCCTTTCCACTGTGTCTGCAAATGTGCATGCTTCTCATTTCTCTTACACCCACTTTGTTTCCTTTTGTTGCCTGTGCTTCTAGCATTACAGAAGGAAGAAACCACGGCATGATCCGCCAAGAGAATCACCCCTGTGTTTTTGCTTTCGGGTTATGTATTCACTCTTGTCTTCACGTATTCGATCTCTTTTTCTATGCAGCATCTGACTTCGTTCTTTGACATGTGGGTTCCAGCATTTCCAACGCTACTTTTTCATGCAACTGCCCTTTCCCCTATTAATCGGTCCTTGGGAATAAAGACGTATTTCCGGGCCCCCAATTCTATTCCACAAGTCTCTGTGTCTATCTTCATGCCGGTAGGGCACTAACAGAGCCTTGTGGTTAAGTTTCAAATAGCAGACTTCAAATTTGGGGGCCACTTAGGAGAAAAGGAATTTTTATGTTGTTTTGTTTCATTTGGGCATCACATTCAGGAGCGCTCAGGGGCTACTCCAAGTTTTGAACCCAGGGGTCATTCCCTGGCAGTACTTGAAGGACCATGCAAAGCTGGGGATCAAACCTGGATCTGCCTCATGCAGAGTACGTGCACCAGACTTTGAAGCCCCGACTTTGGTCTCTGTGTCAACATGGCCTTGTCCAACTGAGGTCCCTGGAAGACTGCAAGTGAGTTTTACGATAGATTTTTTTATTTTAGCCAAGTATGTCACTGGGATTTTGCCAGGGATTGTACTAAATCTATAGACAGACAGAACTGATGGCCGCGTGTTAATTTTGAGTCTCACAGCTTTGCTGAATTCATTTATAAGCTCTTAGCTGGACTCTGTTGAAGGTTTAGAGTCTGTATATATAAGACCACGCTGACTGCGCAGAAAATTTTGCTTCTCACTTTCCAATCTGGATGGCTTTTATTCTTTTTCTTGTCTCAGCACTAAGCTGGTGAGAAGTGGTAAAAGCGGGGCCAGAGGGGCAGGATAGTGGGTAAGGTGCTTGCCTTGCACACGGCTGACCCAGGTTCAATTCCCATATGGTCTCCCAAACCCACCAGGAGTGATTCCTGAATGTAGAGCAAGGCGTAACCCCTGAGCGTTGCAGGGTGTGATCCATAAACTAAAACAAGCAGACAACAAAAAAAGGAGAAGTGGTAAAAACTGGCACCCTTGTTCCTCATTTTACTTATGTATTTATTTCTTTATTTATTTTGCTTTTAGGGTCACACTCAACGATGCACAGGGGTTCCTCCTGGCTCTGCACTCAGGAATTACTCCTGGAGGTGCTCAGAGGACCATATGGGATGTGGGGACCAAATCCAGGTGAGCTGCATGCAAGGCAAACGCCCTCCCGCTGTGCCATCACTCTGACCCCAGCCTTGTTCCTTATTTTAAAGAAAAGCCTTCGACCATCTAGCAAGTTCTGGTGTTAGCGTTTTTGTGAGATGCTCTCCTATTTTTAGTTTGTTGGGTGTTTTCATCATGAGAGGACAAGGGTTTCTTTTTCTTTTTCAATTTATTTTTTCAACTGAATGGCTGTGACACCTACATTTACAAAGATGTTCATGACTGAGTTCCGGTCGTACGTCCCAACACCCGCTCCTTCACCAGTGCACATTTCCCACCACCCTGTCCCCAGCTGCCCCCTCACCTCCACAGGCTGCCTTTATAGCAGACACTTCTCTGTCTCTCTGTCTCTCTCTCTGTCTCTGTCTCTCTCTCTCTCCTTTTCTTAAAGGATCTTCTTTTCTGCATCAGTTGAAATGGTCTGTTTATCTTTTATGCTGATAACATGATGTATTCCACCAAATACTTCTTGTATCTTGAGCCATTCTTATAGGGTAGGAACTAGTCCCCTTCGATTCCCGTGCTGCTGAATTCGATTTGCCTGAGCTTTGTTGAGGAGTTTTGCACCAGCACTCACACACACACACACTCACACACACACACACACAAAAAAATATATATATATATATATTTATCCAGTCTGAAGTATGTCTGAC